GCTAGCTGCCACGTAGGAATAATTTAGAACTAGCCAATGGCGGGGCACAAATTTGAATACAAATGGCGGGAACTCCTTGCAACGTGCATTTCTGTGCTGCAACAAAGAAATGCACCCTGCAAAGAAAGCTACTGGTGGCGGGAATTCTTTTGCACCAGGGTTCTCCTCTGCAGCAGAAAACTCCACCATGCAAAGAAGCTGCAATTTAGCGGGAACAATTTAGCAGTGCCGAAGCACTCACAAAACAAAAATCACACCCTTGGGTTGTGACACAGAGGAGGGCCACTCGCATGATCAGGGGGCAGCAGGACAGGCCCTACAAGGAGAGGCTATGAGACCTGAACCTGTTCACCCTCCACAAGAGAAGGCTGAGAGGGGATCTGGTGGCCATCTATAAACTGGCCAAGGGAGACTAGCAGGCAATGGGAGAGTCCCTGTTCCCCCGAGCACTACTGGGACTAACAAGGAATAATGGCCATAAGTTGATAGAGAGTAGATTCAGGCTAGATATCAGGAGGCACTACTTCACAGTCAGGGTGGCTAGGATCTGGAACCAACTTCCAAGGGAAGTGGTGCTCGCTCCTACCCTGGGGGTCTTCAAAAGGAGGCTAGACAGTCACCTAGCCAGGGTCATTTGACCCCAGCATTCTTTCCTGCCCATGGCAGGAGGTCAGACTTGATGATCTACTCAGGTCCCTTCCGACCCTACCAACTATGAAACTATAATCTACTGTGCATTAGTGTCACAAAAAAAATGTGCACCCACACTACTGCACAGTAGCTCTGGTCGCTGCATATTCAGTTAGTACTTGTTATTAGAGGTACTAACCTTAATGAGTTGTAACCACAGTGCATTAATGAACGTGTAGACTTGCCCTGTTACTATTGTTAACACTCTGAACACGTGCTGTATCTTATTTAGGATCTGGCACGGTGGAAAAGTCGCAGAAGAAGTGCTTCACAGGACCTAATAAAAAAAGAAGCAGAAAGGAAAAAGATGGAGAAATTACTGAGTGGTGATGGAGCAAGTGAACGAAGGAAAAGTATCAAGACCTACAGAGAAATTGTGGAGGAAAAGTAGGTTGTTCTACTGGAATGCAATTTAGTGTCTAAAAATACTGTATGTTTCAGGTATGGTGTGTAGCTACTGCCATGTTTCTGGTATGGGACATGAGGGGAAAAAATGAACCAATTTTATAATGCACTGTGAATAATTTGTCCAAATTATTCCAGATCAGGCTCAATGCACATTTGTAACTCTAGGTAACTGTGCATGGAGTTATAATTTCTCATGTTTATCCCACACAGGGAGAGAAGAGAAAAAGAGCTACATGAAGCATACAAGAATGCAAGGTCACATGAGGAGGCTGAAAATATCCTACAGCAGTACATTGAGAGATTCACCATTAGTGAAGCTGTCCTTGAGCATTTGCAGATGCCAAAAATTCTGGAAAGAAGCCATTCAGTGGAGCCAAATTCATCATCCCCACCTAAAGACCCAAATCCTCTGAAATACTTACGACAACAATCGCTGCCTGCTCCGAAATACACTGCCACCATCGAAGCAACCATTGTTCCCACCGGTGAATTGGAAGCCAGCATTTCAACAGGCCACATGTCTCCCAGCAAAACTGTTGTTTCCAAGGCTGTGCCTATGCTGACACCCAAGCCTTATTCACAACCCAAAAACACACAGCAGGTTTTAAAAAACTTTAAGGTAGGACGTGCTGTATTGTCCAAAAGCAATGTAAAGGGAAAAGAATCCTAACATAAATCATGTAAATTTATGCATAGAAGCACAATTTAGTTAAGGAATTGGGAAACAACCTGGAATTGCCAGTCCTAAACTCTCAGAAAAATGAGTTCCTAACAATCTCAGGTTAGTCACTTAATAACTAATAGATACTTTTGACATGAATCTTTCTGTGCCACAAGTCCCTATCTGTAAGATGGGGTAATATACTAACCCTTCAATTTACAGGGAGGAGGTGTATTAAAATTAATTTATGTTTATAAAACATTTCAAGACTATGATGATGAGCACCATAGAAAAGACCATGAAAAAGTTAATAGTTTTGTCTTCAGAGCGGAATTTGAATGGTGTGTAGTAAATGAGGCATGAAGCCTCTGAATGAACAACCAAAAAATCCCTGAATAGCTGCTCATTATGTGTGCAAAAATCCTGTCGTCAAGACTTATGTGGTCATATAGTGTGACTGGATCATAATGTGTATGCGGAAGGGGGTTGAATTAAGGTTGCACAGATGATTTTCATTCTGGTGTTTCTTAGTTTTAGTGCTTAACTATGTAACATTAATGTTTTACTGTAACTTTCTTCATGGAATTAGACAGACTGGAAGAACTTGGTTTGGAAGTAGCGTTGGATTTCTTAGAGTGTAGGACAGCAGTTCCCAAACTCTGGGTCATGACCCCAAATGGGGTCACAGAAACAACAGATGGGGTCACGAGAAATAAAAATTACTTTAATCCAGGGCTGGGCAAAATATGGCCTGCAGGCCAGATCCGTCCACCAGGCAATTTCATCTGGCCTGCAGGCACCTACAACTAATTGTACCTCACCCAGCCCGCATGCCTCGCTCCCACTTTCGTGCATGGAGGGCCCTGGCCCATCCAGTACGCAGCTTTTGGGTGGGGTGGCGGCTTCTGCTGCTGCTACCGCTGCAGCTGCTGAGGGACCTGCTCAGGTTCCCCAGCATCCCACTTGCTCCAGGCACCAGGTAGGGAAGCGGCAGGGGTGGATGGAGGGGGTGTTGCAGCTGTGCAGGGGCAGGGAGCATGGGACTGGGGCTGGTGACAGCATGGAGCCTATGCCCAGGGGGGCTACAGGACAGTGGATCTTGGGTGGGCAGGGAGTGGATGTGAGGGAGAGTAGGGGGCTGTGGGGACCTCACACACACTCCCACCCCATAGCCTCCCCCCCAATGGCACACAGCCCTTGTTGGCAGGGCACTCATGGCCCACACAGGCACTGCCAGAAATCCAGAAAAAATCTAGATCTCAAGGAGACTGTAAGCCAAAATGGCTAAATATTTAGTGCTGGGAGACATTAGTCAATATGAAGCTTCTGGGTGAAAAGTGACCTAAAATTCACAGGTCTTTTTTACTGGGGTAAATGATGGTTGAAATGAGACGTCCTCCCATTTTGTGTCAATGTGAAAATGAATGCTTTTGGGTACCAACAACCTCTTCAGTTCTGAACTAGCTCCCATTGAAATTAAGGGCAGTTCTTATGTACGTATACATATTTCAAGTGCTAACTGCAAGCTGCTTCATGCTGACTTACTGGAATATGAAACTAGTAATTCCTGTTTCTTTTTTAATTAATTTAACCTCTGACTTTTACCATTCCTATTGAGTGAGACCTGGATCTATCTTTGGTTGTTTTTCTAATTCTCATTCTTTTAGGGTTTTTTTGTCCATAAAATGAAAAAGGGAAAAACAGTTATACATGGGCAAGCTCAGGGTTCAGTTGTTTACTTCAGGTGGGACCATGAAATCTATCTCAGTAAGAATTATGCCAGAAAGAATTAAGCCATACATTTTTTTTACCCTGTTTAAAACACAGATCTATTTATGATACTTTTCTTTAATGACAATGTGTTGACTTGCTCCAGTTCAGGAGGAGAGAAGAATGTTTGTTTAACTCTGCAGCCAGAGCATCTGTTCTGATAATTCAAACATTTGCTTTCACTCCCTAATATAAACAGAGAAATGTCTTAGTCTAAACAGTGACATTTACAATGGATGGGTTTTAACTGTGCAGTATTTTTCTGGATTTTTTATTTTTTAAACTTTCATGACCTGTCTACTAGATAACACAACAGAGAATCCCAAGGGAGTTGTGGATTTGAGACTTGCCAACGTTTGTATTCAGGATTACGTTTTGTGAGTAATGATGAGTTGGGTAGATGATGTGGTTAGGGAAAGTAGAGGAGTGTTTTTACCTTGAGCAATAATAAGAGTGTTTGAAATGCATGTGCATATTATCTGTGCACAAGCTTGCTTTGGCTCATTTAAGACTCAGTTTTAAAATATGGCAGTCATCTTCAGGTCTTTCAGTTTGTGGTTCTCTTTTATTGCCCTGATATATAGAGCAGACCCTTGACCAGTCATAGGAACAAGAAAAGTCAGGTGGATGAGCAGTTTGCTCTTGACTAGGAATTTGTTGTGTATAGCAAGCTGAACTTGTCATTAATGGGAAATTAAGTTGTCCATTACCAGTTGAATGGAGAAAGATGCATGGAAGAAGATAGTAAACTATATGCAATTTACTTTAAAAGAATGTGCCAGTTTATTGTAAAGTCCTTTTCTCTGTTGTTTATATCCTCGCTGAATGTCCTTATGTCCTTTAAATCTGCAACCCAATGTTCCAAGGAATAGCTTAAGTCTGAACTTGTTCTTGCATGCATTGTTATTTATGCAGTACTTGTTGATCAGACGTTTAAAAACATTTCATATGTCCTATATGGCATCAGCCCAAGTAAGCTCTCTGCCAATAATTAATAGCCTGTTGCCAGAAATCAAACTTTCCCCTCAAAAATCTTTTTTCCATGGACACCCCTTTCTCCATGGAAGTTCCCTATAAAAACATGCAAAGCCCAACTAAGTTACCTTCCTTCAAAACTCTTTCCTTAAAATTAATCTCAGCTGCCATATCTTTACCATCTCATCTACAGCTGTGAAATGTGTGCTGAAATGGCTACTGATTTCTTTAATTACAGTATCATGATATTGTTAGCCAGTGCTTTTCCTGTCTTTCTATTGTATCCATCTGTTCTATATTACTGTATCTAGATTGTAAGCTCTTTGGAGCAAGTGTCTTTGTTTGCATGTATCGTGACTTGCTCTATGGGACTTTGGTCCAGGTTGGACTCTTTAGATACTATTGAGGATTCAGGTAGTGCTAATTTGATCCTCCTTCCCTAATTAATTGGCTCAGATTGAGAAGCTCCAAACTCTGGGCAAAGGGAATGTTGGCTTGAACCGAATAAATAGTAAAATAAATATGCAACTTTTTTCTAATGTTTCTTTTAAGATATATATAATAGATATTATATATCAGACCATTTGCCCTTCTACAAAAGTGTGGCCTGTTAGGACTTCTTGTTTCCTGTGCCATCGTTTGACTCGGGAAGGGGTGGAAGGTTGCTGGCTTCTTCTCATATTGTGATCAGTAAGACAACGAAACATTAAGCTAAGTCCTGCTGGTTTGGCTCCCTCAGACCAACTAAATTCCAGAGCGCACAATGTACTAATATTGTGGTGAGCTGTCTGATTACATAGCAGTTCATCAGTATAATTAGTAATTGGTAAGCATCCTTGCCTCTCTTGATGCAAGACAAAACCAAAGTGTTTATTACAGTATGCTTTGAAGAGTAGTGCTTCAAATTTTGTTGGTAGTTTTAAAATGTAATATGAAGCCACCTTGCCAGGCCACTGTATCTGTTTAGAACTATTCCTATGATTGGGGGATTTTAGTACATTTAAACATTGACTTGCAATTATTATCCTTCTTAAGAGTTATATACTTGTTCTTTGTGCTTTTGTTCAAGCTTCCCCATGTATAGTCTGTTCTACCTGTCCCAACTCTACCCTGAACTATTACTCTAACTGTTATCCTCTTAAAAACTTGCTCTTGCTGTGACACCCTCAAAATGTGCTTATCACTCAATGGGAGAACAAAAGTATATAATCATTTTCTGGATTTTCTTATTTATCTTGTCCTCTAAGTGTCTGTATTTTGGTTGTAAATTATTTCTGGCAGGAACTGCCTCTAATTTTGTGTACTGAATAATACTAAATACATTACTAGTACTGTACAGATTATTTATTAATAAATACATGCCAACTTGATGTTTTCTGTTATTTCCTCAGCGTATTTATTTAACTGTGTTCTGCAGGTAGATGGAAAAGTCAGCATGAATGGGGAAACGTACAATGGAGTGGAAGAAGAGAAGGAAAAAGAATATACGACAGTAATGTTTGCCCCTTCGCCAAGTAAATCTCTCAAGTGTGAAGGTGTGGCCAGAGAGGACGGGCACCCTGTAGAGTTGAAGCAGGACATCACTAGCATTGAGCTCAGTTTACAGAGGCCTATCCCTCACAGGGCGCACAAAGAAACAACAGTAAGAGCAAAAGTGAATGCATCATCCTTACTTTCTCTGCCAGATTTCCTTCTCAATGCATTTCATCACTAAGTTAATGAAAACCAAGAGATTATATTTTGTTTTATCACAAGAGGATCAGCTCAGGTCAAAGAAATTATACTTTTTAAGTATTTGCTGCCATGGAAAGGTAGAGGATTCAAGAACTTTTTGCAGTTGGCTTCTTGCTTGGGATGTCATGTAACTGATATGCATGCTTCAGTGCTGGAACATTTCACTGGGTCCATGTGAGAAATTGACTCTGTCCCAGCTATTGTACAGGTCTTATTCAGTCCTTCTACTGACATTAGCTGATTAGATCAGCAACGTAATTGGAGTGTGTGAGCCATTATAATTAGTCTCAGTTTTCCACCTCCATACTAACGGATGTTAATATGCTGGCAGTTTTAGCATTTAGATATTCATCGTTCCATTATCAGGAAGTATTAGAAAAGGAGGCAAGTTATCAAAATACATGGGGTCACTGTGTTTCCTGGCCACCTTACTGTACAGACTTGCATTAATTTAACTTTTTATCCCTCTCACTGTCACTAGAGAGAGGCAGAAAAAACTGGAGCACATCACAGCAGGACTCAAACCAAAACCAAACAAAAAACAAAGCGAGCACTCTTCCAGGAAAAAGAAACATGAAGGGAAAGTGGATTTGGGTCTTTCTTACTATGTAACAAAATACAATGTCAGAGATACAAAATAAATTACAAAAGCCAGGAATGATAATGAAGTTCCCTTTAATTCACAGGGTATTAGCTAGATAGGTAATTGTGCGAGTACTATTTCTAAGGATGTGTGACATTTTGCTGTTGCCCAAAGAATATAGGCTCATTCTTGGTAACAGACCTACTTCTTCTGGCATGCATGATGGGGGCTGCCAACCCCTGGTTTAGATTATGGTTGTATGGAATGGTTTGGATAGAGATGGTCCTGCCTCAGGCAAAGGGTTGGACTCATGACCTGTGGAGCTCTCTTCAAGCCCTACTTCTCTGTGACTGTCATGGGACTGGTATGGAGACGAATAAGTGACAGTAGGAAGGTAGGGAGATGGCAGTGTAGAGGATGGTTGGGGAGTAGTAATGAAATGATCCTTACTTCAGAAGTAGGATAGGGTTGCAGCTGACTTTGAATACACAGTTGACTCTGCAGTTCTGGCAATTATAAAATAAGGAAAATAATCACAGAATTAACATGATAGGGAATCTTTGAGAGAATAAAATAGGCACCTACATGATACCATTTCTAGAGTTCTGACTCAGGATTTTGTGACCTCAGTTACATGATGGGATCAGCAGTGTTAATTGGATGATACCAACTATTATGATGAATTTTGGTTTTCCAGTTTCTAATAAACTAATGTTAGCATTCCTAGAGTATTTTTGTTTCCAGGAAAAGAAACCAGATTAGTTTTAGAAAGCAGAGGCAGTATTATACAGGGAGAAGATCTCAATGCACTAAGCTTAAGACCCTTGTTTTCTGAGTGCACTTCTGGTCCTTTTGTTCATCTATGGAGTTTTTTTCAACAAGATATTTCTCTCTCTCTCCCTCCCTCTCTCTCCCTCTCTCTCTCTCTCTCTCTCTCTCTCTCTCTCTCTCTCCCCCTGTTTCCATTGCCACCAGGTAGCCTAGGTCTTTACTGTGATTGCATCAGGTTCTGTATACATTTCATTAAAAAAATAGCAGTGGCTTTGTATAGCTTTCTGGGTTATGAAGAAAAGTTTGACACACGAACCAAGCACAATCAATGTAATGATCCCTGTTACCTGCGCTAGCTTTTATAACCCCTATGTCCTTATGGTTTGCCTCTTAGCAGTGCCCCCTTTTCCCTCCCCACCTTCCTTCTATATCCTATGTATTTAAATTTCAGCTTTCTATTTAGAACCCCTGCTCCCTGCAGGTCCATCCATAGCATCTGACAAGGTAAGCTGTTACTTACAAAATCATATGCGTCTCTGAATTAATTAGTCTCTAAGATGCTATTATGCCCTGCCTTTTCAATATAATGATCTAAGAAGATCCACAAGGAACTCCATGCCATGGTATTCCTGTGGCTCTGGGTTGCCTCTGACAATGAATGGCTGATCCTTGCAGTGATCTTGAATCACTAACCTAGGGAGTTCTGAATTGTTATTGACAGCACAACTTTGTGTACGTAGGTGAAAGTGCAGCTATGAAATCAAAATTTAAGAGTTGTGTATTTTTGCTTTAAATCTAACTACAAAGCTCAGTTGTAGCACAGGAAGGCGTGGAGGAAGATTGCTGATGGGCTTACTTTGATAAAATATTGATAATAATGCATTAAGCTGTGAATGTATATAGATTCAAGGTTTTTTAAGATTCTTTTCTAGCTAATTGAATTGTTAGTAATGCAGTACTAAGACAGCAGCTCACCGCATCTTCCTCCTTGTTAGAAGATAAGTCATGTAGCATATTTTTTCCAAAGACAAAAGGGATTCCTCTTTCTACAGGTTTAACTCAGCATAAAATGTGCTTAGTTTCTGCATCATGCAGACTAATAGTAAACCTCCTTATCTGATATTTGGCCCTGATTCCCTATTCCAGAGTTCAAGAAAAAGAAAAGTAACCAAGAGATGAAAGCCAAGTTTTCTAGAAATAGAATGGCAAAAGAATTGTCTGGACGTTCCTTTGGGATGGTTGAAAATAAAGGATATCAATCAGAATTTTTTTTAAGCACTGAAATTATTTTATTTGCTTGCTTACCCTATTTTCCCCCAGTTTTCTAATTTCCAGTCAGATGATTTAGGGCTTTCTTTCCATTTCTTCCATATCCAGGTTTTGAATACAATTCACTGGAAACAGAGCTTCTATTTGCCAGTGCTTTTTGTTGTGTTTCTAGTGGGATGGGATTTCTTTCTTGTTATTCTGCTAATTTTATTTGTGTTGTCATCCTGTGTATAAGTGTGCCTGAATACCTGCACATGTAGGCATGGTGCATATTCACCTACCTGCTGTATATCATTTTATCTCTGGTCCTTCCCCTTTCTTGTTCTGTTTGCCTTATTGTTCTTCTTTCCTGTCACTCCTCTTTCCTTCTTATGATTGCTTCCTGCTGTTTCAGTTCGCTCATCAAATAGACTAGGCATATTACAGTTCACTTGTCAGATAGATTATGCACCGTCTTCTAGACATATTTTTCTTTGCTTTGTGTAGTGTTGTAGTAAAGCAGTTCAGCTGGTCTCTGGTGTACTCTACACAAGTAGCAGATGTTGGATCAAGCTATACCACTTCATAGAGCAATATGATATGGGTTTTGTGAGGGTTGGGGGATCCCATTCGTGAGCTTACACAAATGTACCAACTTAGCCCCAGACATCATTCTTCCAACAGAAAGAGTAACAGGAAAAGGAGAGCTTACATTGTACTGATAACAACCAGCAATTGAAAACTTGTTTGGGGGTTGCACTGTTACTGCCCAAATATGGTTGTGTGGAATGGATTGTTGAAAGGTTTTGCAACAGTATTGCCAACAGTGGAGATGAACACAACTGAAGAGTACTAGAGAGGAACATTTTCAGGTATTTCTAGAGCAGTAGCGGACAGTATTTTTGGCAGGTATACCACAAATTAGCCCCGCATCTTCCCTGAGTGCTACTCCAGTCCCCTTCCCTGCCCAATCTGATGCTCTGCTTTCTACTTCCTGTCCTATGCTTCCTTCCTGATCTGCCACTCTGCTTTCTACTTCCTGTTTTGTCTGCCACAGTGTTGCCTATACCTTCCCTGATCTCCTGTGTGCCAGGCACAAGTTCTTGGAGGCTCCAGGGTCTCGGAGTCACTCTAATTAAAGCACTGCCCCCTTCTTTTCCCAGAGCACGTGTAAAAGTGCTATAAAGTGTCACATAAAAAAATGTGTGATTATGCTAATGCGCAGTAAAATAGCCTACTGCTCATTAAGCATCACTTAAAAACCATGAGCATTCATTACTGCTCATTAAGGCAGCCTAATGTGTATTTCTTTTGTACCTCATATTGGAAGTACTAAATTTTAATGCACATTAGAAAAAGCACCTTAATGCATGTGTAGACATGCCCAATGACATCATTATATTTAAAGTGTCTGTTCCATGACTCTCAATGAATGATTGACTTGCCTGTAGCTCTTGTTAAGACTTGACAATGAAAAACTAGGGAGGGGAAAAATCCTGATCTAAATAGCAAGTCTCAAGAAAAATACTGTTTGTCTTTTTTAATTAGTGAACTTTTT